AAAAAAATCACTTTTCTTATATTAAAAAAAAGCGCCACGATAGTTTTCTCTCCAACAGGAATAATTATTATTGATTTACAGTGTAATAGCAGCAAACAGCTTTGGTGATTGGTTAAATGTCTTCACTTCACTGGGGCCATTAATCAATCTTAGCAGCTATTTATTGCTTAGCAGACTACCACGCAATAAAGACGAGCCTGAAATCAACTCCCATAGTAGCTTTGACAGGCAAAAATTAATATTTAATGCTGCATTACTAGCTGACTTGAAATTGGGTCTCTGCTGTGTAGCTGGTCAGCTGCAACCAGCGTAGCCATGGAGTGCTCTAAGCAGCCTTCACCTGCAGAGGCTCCTGATGTACCGTGGTTTTTCAGGTCTTGTGGGTAGTCTGATTTGGCAATGATTCGAGTGTCCTGCATTTCACAAATCTGATGGCTACCAAAGCATTAGAGTAGAAACATATTGTGTATATAAATTGCCTGAATGGTGACTATTATCACTGGAAACTTAATGAATCAGATTATGTTGAGGGTGTGGTGGGAAGAATCCCACTATCCATATTTGACCATAGGCCAAACTAAATTCAACAAGAAGAAAGTCCTTCATTATGGTTTGGGTGCCTCTTTTATTCTCAGCTCCATTTTGCCACTATGACTCGAAATTTTAATCCTCTTTGATTATGTAGATAATTCCAATTCCGATGATAGGGATGGAATTGAGGAAGTACAGAAGATCATGATGGAAATGAGAATAGGTCATTTTTCTCTATTTTCCCTCAGTAAGTCCTTGCCCCTTCCACTCCTCAGTCTGTGAAAAAAATACAGTTGATCTGTTTGGTTTTTCCTAGAATATGCTTATTAATAATAATACAAATAATGGCCTACAGTCATTGAACGTATATGTTCCTGTTATTGCAATTTCCTGATCATGATATTATGGTATCAGTAGGGTTATTAGCCATGTTATACAGATGAAGAAGTGAAGTTTGGAGATGTTTGGTAACTCGCTGAAGATTACCCAGTGAGCTAGGATTTGACCAGAATCTGGAGTTTAATCAAGCCTGTGTTCTGAACTTCTAGACTCTCAAGGGAATACCAAAGGCTAGACTGCCTAAATGGTTTATGTGAAATGATCTGCAAGTCACATGGAACTCGTCTTGACTTCATATTAATAAATAAGTCAGACTGCTATTTTAGAATGTCAAAGCTTATCCATGCCTGGGTTCAAATATCAGTTGTGAAGTCTTCATCATGAGATACTGATGAATGGGACAGTCTCTTTGAGCATCAGTGGAAATGATATTTGCACTATCCATAGTGAATACTGAGATATGAAATGACAGTATTCCTTCAATTACAGCAATGCCTCTGATACATCATATCTTTAAAAATAATGAAAGATTTTTGAAAATTACTGGTAAAGTGTAAACTCCAGGTATCCTTCCTCTTCTTAGATTTTGTTATTAACTACGTGGCACTTTGCAAGGTAAGAGTTGAACCATTAAAATACAATTTAATTGTAGGTGAGTCTTCAAAATAGGTCCCAATACTTCTCCCTTATCATTTGGTTAATCTGTTAAGAGTCTGACTTATGGAAGTATTAACATAGGAGAAAATGTTGAAGATCAATTTCAAGTTAGACATAAAAGACTAGTGCAAAAAGACACTCAGTTTTGGGTGTAGCCCTTGAATATTTTCTGTTTGGCCTATACCATATGTCCCTACAGAATTAAGGACATAAATATGGCAGAATGTCATGGCTTCAGGATTGTTATCCAGCTGTTCCCACAGTGGGTACCAAGGACAGGGCAGCTATCAGTCTTCCCTGGATCCTGGACCAAAAAGCTCTGGCTGCAGTAATTAAACATTCAGTGTCCTCCAGCATTCATGTTAATAGAATGCCTTCTTTTCATGCTCTTAATTTGCTTGCCTTGTTTTATCAGTTAGACTGCCAGTCTCTCCTTTTTCCTTCATTTCTCATATGGACCTGAATCAACCTCTCCTCACCTACAGGTCATAACACATAAATTACACACCCTTGATGCACCAACACATCAGTTATTAGGTTGCCCTGGGTGGACTGATTCTCTTCTTTGATAAATCTGAAGATTTGTGACACCAATGCTCTTATTTTACTGAGAAGCAGGAAGCAATCTTGGTGATTCCCACCAGACTGCTGTGAGGATAGGAATGCCTCAATAACAGAAAGTGATTTCCTCCTCTTCTTGTTTCAGGTTCAATGGATCCAAATGACTTCCTGAGGGAGGCACAGATAATGAAGAACCTAAGACATCCAAAGCTTATCCAGCTTTATGCTGTTTGCACTTTAGAAGATCCAATTTATATTATTACAGAGTTGATGAGACATGGAAGTCTGCAAGAATATCTCCAAAGTAAGCTAAAGACTTAATAAAAGGAAGAAAGGAGGGATTTAGTTTAACTAGTCCTATAAATGTCAATTTAGCAAGCCTTCTATAACCCAAAGGATATTTACTATGTGTATATCTGTGAGAATGAATGGCTCAACTAGTTTTTAATAGGATATATACCGTGTGCTCAAAGGGAGGGAAAATATTTATGTAGTGAAGAACAAATTGTTCGCAACAGACATATCAGAGTACGTAAATGTAATGTAGAAAATTGAAGAATAGGTGTTTTGCGTGATGCTTTGTTTCCTGCAGTAACTAATGGAACATTATCAGTCACGGGCCAATTTGATCTATGGCTCAGAATTAGGGAACATGGGATACTTTGGGGGAAAGAGAGGGAGAGGTACCCTCATTCTTTTTCCTTTTCCGGTGTTAACATCATACTTGTTGGTGTTTAATATACTTCCACTGCTAGGCAGCATTAGAATTTTCAGACTAAAAAGCAGAAATATACAATTGCTTTATTTCTACATCTGCTTCCTGTAGTCAGAGAAGACTTAAGGGCATTGTGAAATTTTGATGTTTATTGCAAATGAATAATTTAATAAGCAACAATATAATGAGTATTAAAATGAGATGTTCAAAGTAGTGGAGATCAAGTACTGAGAGAATAATTCATGCTTAAAAAAGAGACTTTTTCTATTGCTTTCCTGAAATGTCAGAGTGGGATTGATAGAACGTGCAGAGGTAAAGGGAGGTGAGAATAATGGAACAAAGATATTAGAAAGATAAGAGTATTCTCTGATTTCAGGGTGACTTGTGAAGCTGGCGGTATTAAATTGCAAAACTGGGGAAGAACAAAGGACCTGGGCCTGTTAAATGCTGTTAAAAATTATGCCTAGCTCCTTTGCATGAGGATTTCAAATTTAACAGTATCAGAATATGTTAGCCACCGTGGAAAAACTAACCTCAGCCATTGCCCCCTTTGCCTTATTCCCTGGGACAAAAGTACAGTCATTATCTTGGGTCCATCTTTCACAAAAATGATTTGTCAAGGGCACAGTTTCAAGTCTAATACTCAATTCTCAGTCTTCAGACCTGTTAGCATTTATTTCAATGGACACTCTTTCCCTTTGGAAATACCTCTTCATTTGGCCTCCAGGACACTTCACTCAATGGCTTTTCCTCCTGTCTTTTTGTTGATTCTTCTCCCATCTGTGTGATTTCTCTTATCTCTCAGACCTCTTGGAATTTTGTAACATCACCAGTTACTTGCTAAGCACAGTCAGTTTCAATGTTAAATAATATTTATGTATCAAAGACTCCTGAAACTACATCCCTCCATTACTTCAGAATCATAAATCCAACTGCTTTCTTGACTACTCTACTTGAACCGTCCTCTGGATAACATAGGTATGATGCAGCAACACTCCCCTCTCCCAAATCCCAGAGGCACTTATTTCTTGCTCATGCTATGTGTGCAAAATAGATTGGTTGGTCGCTCAGGTGTTTTGATCACCTTGGCAGGGAAAGGGATGGGACTAATCTCATTCTGGCTCTTCGAGTTCCAACCAGGAGATGCAGAGATAACTTCTGTGCCCTTTTTCATTTGGTCAAATCAAGTCAAAAGGAATAGGGAAGTACAATTCTTTAAAGTGGTTGCAAGGAGGAAAAAAAATGTTTGTGAACAGCTGGAATTTTCTACTCCAGGTGTCTATTAAAAAGTCTCAAAACAGCCATGTCCAAAACTGATCTTATATATCCCCAGTAATCTGCTACTCTTGTGGTCTTCCCGTCTTTGACAATGTCAACACTCAGGCCTAATCTCTTGATCATCTCTACTTCTCACAGTTTCTATCTAACTAATCTGAAAACCCCATTGGCTTCTTTCCAAATATATCCGGGATTTTGCACCTCTCAGCACTCCTACCCTGGTCTAAGCTGACATCAACTCCTTCCTGGATTAGGCAACAGTCTCTTAAATGGTCTCCCTTGTTTAGTTCTTGCTCCCTTCAGTCTCCACTCAACACAGGAGGTGGAGAGAGCCTGTTAAAAGGTAAATCAGATTGTCTTCCCCCCTCAGCTCAAAGCCTTCTGTGACTCACTGGTTTTCTCTATATAACCCATAAGGTCCTACATGGCCCAGCTTTCCATTACCTCACTGACCACATCTCTCCCAGTGTCTCCCTTGTTCAGTCTGTGTCAGCTGCCCTGTCCTTTGCTGCTCTTCATATCTTCCAGGTGCGCTTTGCTTCAGGCCCTTTGTGCTTTTTCCATCCTCTATCTGAATTCCACCCCCTCCCATTACTTACCCATGTACTCATTTCCTCACTTCTGAAAAGTCTTTCCTCAGACATTCCCATTACAGTGAGTCTTTCAATGGTCAACCTCTGAGTTCTAAAATTTAATCTCCCTCTCCTGTCTCTTTGTATTCCTCTTTTCTGCTTTTTTGTTTTCCTTTTTCTTAGCTGCTAATCATCATATAGTGCATTTCTTTTTTAAAGATGTTTATTTATTTATTTTGAGAGGGAGAGAAACAGTGCACGAGTTGGGGAGGGGCAGAGAGAGAGAGGGAGAGAAAGAGAATCCCAAGTAGGCTCTTCACTGCCAGCGTAGAGCATAATGTGGGGTTTGAACTCACAAACTGTGAGATCATGACCTAAGCCGAAGTCAAGAGCCAGATGATTGGGGCACCTGGGTGGCTCAGTTGATTAAGTATCCAACTTCAGCTCAGGTCATGATCTCACAATTCATGGGTTTGAGCCTCACATCGGGCTCTGCACTGCAGAGTGTGCTTGGGATTTTCTTTCTCCTCCTCTCTCTCAAAATAAATAAACTTAAAAAAAAAAAAGAGCCAGATGCTGAACTGAGTCACCCAGGCATCCCAATGCATGACTTTTTAATATGGCTTATTGTTAGCAACTTCACAAATACAACTCCCTGAGGACAGAGATTTTTCTTTATTTTAATGATAGAAGAGTGTCAGGCACATAGAAAGTGTGCTCTAATTATGTGTTGACCGAATAAATGAAAAAAAAATTAATGGATAGATTAACTGGGGCTATTCTAAACCTAATATGATCAGGACTTGGGGTTGAGCTTGTCTTGAGACTCTTGGTGTCAGCTTGACAAGATCCACTTATTAATTATGAACTCCTCTGGCACTGAGAATTTTTGTGGTTTGTTAATGTGTTTTACTCAGGGGTGAGCACAAACCCTGTCATATTTTGGATTGGGCTATCAGGGTCAAGTTTACCAAGGCCTTCATTTGCTAAGATACTTAGTAGCCATGAGAAATAATGAAGAGATGCTCATTACAGACAATCCCTTCCCAATTAAGAGGGCTTAAATTCAACAAAGTGATCTTAAAATGAATCTGCCACGTTTAAACAGCCCATCATGATACATATTCTAAGCTGAAAGACTCAAGTGATGGAACATAGTTGAAAATATTTTCTTGTTGCGGATGTAAATTGTTACAGAACTGTGAACCTTTATATCAGTTTTGACAACTGACTGTTGCATTAGAAGTGTGTTCTGAGGTTCCCCTGGGCAGTTCCTAGGCCATTCTACTCTTTCAGGGTAGAAAATATGTTAGTACTCGATTTCCTTCGCTATTGTGCCGGTCAGTGAAAACTTTATATCCACTGTAATAGAATTAGATGTTGAATTTGATAGTTGAAATGACATACATAGTTTTCTATGGAACCACCTTTGTAGACCCTAAGCTTGGCTGAATATTTTTTTTTGTAATAAATTTCTCCAAAATAGAAGAGGCTTACCAAAAAACTTTAGCATTGAGGGTAATTGATGTCCAGTATTTCCTGCTGAAATTTAAAGAGAATAAATATCTGCATTTTTTTTTGCATGTATACATACTGTTTAAAATAAATCAAGCTCCAGCATGTTGTTCATCATTCTCATGGACCGTTCACTAAAGTGGACTGAGGTAGACAGGAGCGTTTTTACTAAGATACCCTTCAGCTGGCTACAACTGTAGCCCCAACCTTCAGGTCCTCAGGAATCATGTGTAACGTAGGTTTTAGGGAGAAGTATAGAATAGTTTTTAAGAGCATGAGATTTCAACCTCAAACATGCCTGAACTTGAATCGCCACTCTACAACTTATCACCTGTTCTTCTAAGTAGCAGAAACTCCTATGAAAGGGGGCAAATAGTAATAACACTTACTTCATGTAGTTGTGAGTATAAAATGAGGTGATGTACTAAAAAACCAAATGAGATAGTGGTAGGAGAGGTGCATATATTTACAATTTATTTTTCTAAAAAAACCCCACACTATATAGTACTTACTATATGCCAGGCATTTTTGTAAATGTAGTACAAATATTAACTTAGTTCTTTCCTCTAATGACCTGATGAAATGAGTATTATTATTATCATTTCTATTTGATAGTGGAAGAAACTGAAGGATGGACAAGTTTATAACTTATCCAAGGTAGTTGAACCAGAATTCAAACCCAGGAAATCTGGCTCCGTAGCCCATGCTTTGAACCGTGTGCATAGCACTGACATTATTTTCTTAACATGAACCTGTATTCGTTATCTATCGTGCACAAAAAATTACCCAAAACTTAGTGGCTTAAGTAAGCAAGCATTTATTATCTTACATTTTCTGTGGTCAGGAATCCAGGTGCAGCTGAGCTGGGTCTTCTACCTCAGGGTTTCTCACAGGGCTGCAGTCAAAGTCTTGGCAGGTGCTTCAGTTATCTGAAGGCTCTAGGGGAAGTTGATCTATTTCCAAGCTCACTCAGGTGATTGTTGGCAGGAGTTGGCTTCTCCAGGGCTGTTGGATTGAGAAAGTCAGTTCCTTGCTGGTTGTTGGCAGGAAGCTGCCCTATGTTCCTTGGTACATGGACCTCTCCATAGGGCAACTTTCGCCATGACAGTTGGCTTCATCAGACTGAGCAAGTGAGAGAGCAAGAGAGAGGAGAGTTCTTGCAAGATGAAGCCATAGTCTTTTATAACTTATCTTGGAAGCGATACCCCATCATTTTGGTCATAT